AACTTTTTCCATTTCACTGAAACAGGCGTGAAATACTTCTTTCGTTCTTTCTTTCATTTTCTCACTGAAACCAAGTAGTGTTTTTCTCCTCTTTCTACGCGATCAAAAGCGAATAGTCTATTATTTATTATATATTGGCAGGGGATGTTAAACATACCTGTCTTCTCTTCTCTCTCTCTCTTTTTCTTTCTTTCTTTTTCTCACTGAAACCAAGTAGTGTCTTTTCTCCTCTTTCTACGTGATCTAAACCGAATAGTCTATTATTTATGAGATATTGGCAGGGAATGTTAAACACATCTTTCTTTATTTATTTATTTATTTATTTATTTCATTGAAACGAAGTAGTGTCTTTTCTTCTCGTTCCACGCGGCCAAAATGCAATTGTCCATTTTTATCGTTGGCTGGAGATAACGGTCCTGCGGACTAACGAAAGCATGGACAGACTCAAATGATAGTACGATATTTAATGCGTTTATTACTATTACTGATATTTGTACTAATGGGGGAAATATTTTAAAATAATAACAAATGTCTGACAAATCTGGTATATGTTTATTTACAATTCGAATACACCCAGGCACCAAGATCCCTATTTCAGTTTAAACTATACCGTTGATTTGACATTGAAATCGATAGTGTAGAACGTAGCGATGCAAGTGCCTCTATGGTAGTACATTACATATGTCAAGAGTGTGGAAAGTGAGTTTCCCGTGAACTGGTTTTTGGTACAAATGGCTTCCATCATTGTTCCGTTTCTTTGTGTTTTGAACAGATTTCTATTTTCTGCAACCAAATGTTTTAATAGATATATACAAAATACAGCTCGACCTCATTAATCCGCTTTCCTCCTGATCCGGCAACTCTCATAATCCGAGGCGTTTTTGAATGAGACGCCATTAGTTCGTTAAGTGGCTATGACGTCAGTAACCCCACGTTGTTTAGAACTTTATGTAGCCGACGACAGTAGATTCTTTTGGTGAGATGGTTTTACTCATAGTGCCCATGCAGCCATTCAGGATACTAAGTATATATTAATTTTTACTTGTAGGCTTATTTTAGACTTTGTATTGGTTTGGTTTATTTTGTTTTACGGCATATCAACTTCAATGGCTTATTTAATGCCGAAAACATTTTTAGGATAGTTCGTATGAATAGAAAATGTTTTCTTTGGTTTAGATTGGTGTGGTTCATTTTGTTTTATGGCATATCAACCTCAATGGGTTATTTAATGCCGACAACATCTTTTATTGCTGGTAATATTTTGTTTTGTCAAAAATCTCTTCCTGATATTTTTCCTTAAAAATTGTATTGCTGGTAATATTTTTTTCAATGAAAGTATTGTTGGTAATAGTTAAGTATTTGCCCATAGCTGGGACCCTAACAGGTGCTACCAACCCGGGTCAGGGTGGACCTGGGAACACCAGCGATTAAGAGGTGGTTCCACGCTTCTCAAAACCTCCTGATCAGAGGCCTTGCTGTTGGATGTAGTTTATCGTTTTACACAAGACGCGGATGTAGTTTATCGTCATACCCAGGACGCGGATGTAGTTTATCGTCTTAGTCAGGAGGCAGATGTAGTTTATCGTCTTACCCAGGATGCCAAATGTAGTTTATCGTCTTACCCAGGACGACTTTGTATTGGATAAAAAAAAATATGTAATCCATGCTTGGAAGGATTAATGTTCGTTTTATTTCCTGTTTTAAGCTTTGTTCTACCTTTGATAACACATCTATCTATCTATCTATCTATCTATCTATCTATATATCTATATATATATATATATATATATATATATATATATATATATATATATTTATATATATATGGAATAAGCTGGCAAGACTACTAGGTTTTTTTTAACGATGATTTCTGTGACCCGGCATATTCTGTGATCCGGCATTTTCTGTAATCTAATATACTTTGTGATCCGGCAGTTGGCTGGTGCTAAGAATTTTGGATTAAAAAAGCGGGCCTGTAATGTTTATGCATCTCGTGCTATATAAAATTATCAGGCGTGGAGTACTCGACATGTGGGTCGTAGTTTGCCCACCCCTGAAATAGATTAGAAGATTGTTCGTGAGATTGTGGCCACAATTTCTCTTTTAAGCCATCGCGTTTGCATCATGATGAAGAAGAGAAAAGAAAACGGAATTATAAAATTAACAAATGAAATCCACCATTTCTGGAGAGTTTGAAAGATTCCCCGAAAGTCTTGCAAAAATCAAAACAGTTGAAGGATTTGAAAGTCATCGATTTAAACCGAATAAGAGAATTACGAATAATCCAGCAACAAGTTTTTGCTGAAAATACTGAGTTACTATTTTGGTACTTGATCCCCAATGAGGTTAAGAGGTGTGAAAAGCCAAGGATTACCCCAAAGAGTAAGGGACTTATTTGTTGATTGGTTAATGGAATAACATATCAACCCTTGTGATAATTAATGCCGAATTTTCTATGGGCCATTCAGTGAGGAAAGACAGGACCCGAGGATTCAGGAAA